AGACACCTATTGGAATGTTCCCGTACCGGCTTGTTTATAGGAAGCCATGTCATCTGCTGATGGAATTGGAACACCGTGCCATGTGGACCATTAAAAAAAATGATAATTTTGAATTGAGTGGCGCAAGTACGAAAAGAAAACTTCAAGTTGTTAAACTGGAAGAGATTAAAAGGGAAGCTTATGAAAGCTCAAGAATCTACAAAGAAAAGACGAAGGCATTTCACAATCGACATATTGTCCCAAAACAATTTTTTGAGGAATAATTGGTGTAGTTATTCAACTCTCATCTCAAACTCTTCTCCAGGAAGTTGCAGAGTAAATGGGGCGGACCTTTTATGGTGACAAACGTGGATGATCACTGTGCAATTGAAACTAAAGACACGAAAGGCGACGAACCATTCAAGGTAAATGGACAAAGACTCAAACTGTACATTCGAATGGTAGATGGCGACATGAAACTCGTTGAGAAAACAACACTCGAGAAACCTCAATATTCAGACACAACTTAGTTGAGGTAACACGTCCGACTGAAGGCGTAAAACTCATCGTTTTCCGGGAGGTAACCCATAAATTGGGTGTGTTTCTTCATTTTTCATATTTTGTGGTTTTTTTGTTTATATTTGTATCGAGGACGACCTAAAGTTTTAAGTTGGGGAGGGGATAAGTATTTTAACAAGAAAATATTTTAGTTCTTTTCTTTAAAATCAATATTTTTTTTGGATAAATTAGGTGTCCGAGCATCTTAGACGCACACTAAAACACTAGAAGGAGAATCTCCAACGCCCTAGCATCTTAGACGCATACAAATGGCCCCTCCCAAGCTATATAATTGGCCCCACCCAACATACATAATGGCCCCCGCCCAAACTACATGACGGGCCCCGCCCGAACTGTAACACCCTGTTTCGGGTCATTTCATAAATTGGGGCCGTGACCCAAAGATCAAGTATCATAAGGCCTCAGGCTTTGAGGAAAGAGAGGTTCATAGCCAATTGGTTGTGGATAATGTAGGTTGTGGGTACTGAGAGTTTGGTTTGTGCTTTGGATCCTAAGGGTATAATACTAAAGTGATGGTTCGGGACTTTCATGAATTTAGGATTTAAGTTTGGAAGTTTTTAAGACAAAGGAGAGTTGATAGGATTGTATAGCATCTCATTAACTTTCTGTGGATATAAGGATCGTTGATATCAGAGTTAGATCGAAGAGGTTATGGCCTTCAAAAATTTAGGAGGTTTTTGGACTAAGCCTAGTACATTGAGCTTACAGGGTGTACGTCGGGCGTACTAGCTTGGATTGATCGTGGAACAGCTTGGAGCATGTTGGGTGTACCTGGAGTACGTTGGGCGTACTCCAGTCAGATGCAAACCCAAATTTAGGGTCTTTGACCCTATTTAAAGGCATTAACTCGTCTTCAAACCATCTTATCTTCAGCCTCCATCCCATCTAACCCTAAATACAAAACCCTAGCTTGTTCTTGAGTGTTCTTGAGCTTTGATGGTTAACTTTTAGTGTTTTTGTACACTTTGAAGAAGAAGGAGCTAGGTGTTCAAGCATTAGTCGGAGTGGAGCTCCTAGATCCAGAGTCTTCATCAATTTTGCTAGCATCTGAAGGTATAAAGCTTCTATCTTGATGAATTTATGTGTTAGATCTAGTCTAGGGCTTTATTTTGGGCATATTATGGTCCCTTGAGTCATCCTTGTGAGTATGAGCTACTATAGAAGCTTAGAATGTTAGATCTCAGTATTTCTGATGATGTTAGTGCATAAAAATACCATCTTGAAAGGTTTGGATGAACCATGTAAGAGTTGGTGTTCATATTATGGACTTAGATGGATAAAAACGGGTATTGGGTCTCATTAAGACATGCAAAGGAGTAAAGTTGTCAACTTTTACGTGTTAAGACCTTAAAATGAGGTTAGATCTGAGTTTGGACGTTTTGGTCTTAAGCATTAAGTGCTTATTATGAGTGTTGGACATCTGGTGAGTACGCTGGGCATACGTATGCGTACGCTCAACGTAATGCAAGCATTCCCCGTTTTCACGATTTAGCAAGTTGTACGTTACGCAGCAGCAGGCTATACGTGGGGCGTACCCAAATGGTATGTTGATCGTACTCAACCAGGAGCCATTTGGGCTTTTGATTTGGGCCACTTTTGGACTCTAAGGTTTTGGGTTCTTGTCGGGCCACTAATATTGTTGAGATGGGCCATTGTTAGGCCTTCGGCCAATTGAGGGGAAGGATAAAATGGCTTTTTACCCTAGGAGTCGGTTTTAGTAAATTAAAGTCCTGAGTGTGGGTTATGACTCAATTATTGATTTTGGTTGTATTTGAATGGTTAGTGTGGGGATTCTCCAGTCCTGTATCCCAAGCATATGTTTGATTTTCAGCGGTCTGAGGTAAGTTTGCTCACTATACTGTAGAACACTAGGGATTGTATGTTCTTGTAGTCTTTGTGACTTCTGTTGTATGTGTTGTATGCCTGTGTGCCAGTTTACTATATGTATGTGGTGTGAAATAGACCCGGTACAGCCTTGTGCTGACATTTAAGTTGAAATAGACTTGGTGGTGAAATAGACCTGGTACAACCTTGGCTAACATATGAGGTTAAATAGACTCGGGGGTGAAATAGACCTGATACAGCCTTGAGCTGACATATATGTATGGTATGCGGTATTTTGGGGAACTCGCTAAGCTTTGTGCTTACAGTTTATGGTTATGGTTACAGGTACTTTCGGTTCGAGAGGGAAGGGCCTGGCTTGTTCGCAGCGCATCCACCCATGTTTCCGTAACTTTATGATTTTCGGATTGTATTCTAATAACTATTTTACTCTGATATGATTTTGTATGATTGAAATGGATCAATGGCGTTTATGGTTGAATTAAAAAAGAAAATTTTACCTTATAATTTTTGGGACGTTACATGACCTAGATAACCATATATAGACAATATACATCCAGTTCAACTAATTCAGGCACGTAGAAGCTATAATATCGGCTCTACTCTATTAACTCCTATATCCTACCATACATGGATATATATATATATATATATATATATATATATATATATATATATATATATATATATATATATATATATATATATATTGTAACACAATATAGTGAGATAACTCACCAAGACAATTACTCGGAAGATTGACAACTTTCTGAGTAATTCTACCGGCGATTAAGTTGGCAGATAACGCACCGAACAAGTATTAACCTATAATACTTTAACCCATTAATTTCTATGATGATTTGGTAATGAAAGCTAGGTTTTTCACTAATCCCAACGAATACCGAGAGTCCTATCAAGTAAGGATCAACCAGGTCTGACAGTCGGGAGGCAGGACCATTTCGGCGTATAGCATTTCTTAAATCCAACAACCAAGTCAACGTGACCATTCTAGACACATCTCCCTTAAGTAGACCTATCAACATTATAACTGGAGTTACTAATATATATATATATATATATATATATATATATATATATATATATATATATATATATATATATATATATATCCATAAAAGCGACTATAAATATAAATATAAGTTACACTTAAAGCACAGTAAGTGTAGCCTAAATTATAGAGAGCTTCTAGCGAAAACCGGGAATTATGTGGGCAGAACTCTAACCCGAGAGCTTCTAATTGTCGTCTCTTCGATGTCGTAGGGCCTTGCTAAAGTAGCCGGGAACAAAGGAGTAAAGGGATACAAACTAGAAAGTATTCTAGAATCGGTGGAATGGTGTGCAGGAAAATAAGCTGAAACAAAGGTATTTTTAGGCTGGGAAGGGGTGCGCGTCGTGTATCTGTCGGAAATGATGACGTGGCAAGCAACGGGTGGTGATACATGTCGAGATTCGGGTGGGGGTGGCAGGCGTGCCGCGCATCTGCTCTGTGCGTGCGGCTGGGCGCGAGACTTTCTGTTTTCTTAAAAATTACATAACTTTTTCGTACAAGCTCCGTTTTCGACGGGTTTATATCCATGTGTAGCTATCGACGAGATCTACAACTTTCGTTTAGACTCCATTGGCTAATTTTTACTTTCTTTCTAAAGTTATATTTCACAAACTTAGACTGTTAAAGTCTGTGTAAAAGTCATAACTCTCTCACACAATATTCGTTCTCGACTGTCTCTATATCGACGAATGACTATGGATGAGATCTTCGACTCTCGTTTAGATTGTTTTTCATAACAATTGATTGATCTTAATTTCGGTTTCTGTGTCGTATACTGCTACGTTGAAACTTCGAAAAATCATAACTTTCTCATACGAAGTTAGATTTGGACGTTATCTATATATACGCTCTCGGTTTTATGACTTCTTTTTTGTTTGGATTGCTTAGGCTAATAAGTGATCCATCTATGATTCATATTTTATGACCTGAATAATCGTGTCAGATTAATCGTGAAACTTCTAGGAATCATAACTTATTCACTCAGTTTTCTACATATTGACGGTGATTATTTTGGCTCAAAAGTAATCTATCTCTACTTCGAATATTATAATGATGATTTATCGTGAATTACGAAAATGAGGTGTTACATAAAATAACAATAACATGAATTAAAAATAATTTATGGATTTTTTATACTAAACATTTGTAACAAGATTTTGAGACACTATACGAATCATTCAGTGACAACATCGGAGGTTCAATGCATTGTGTGTGTGTTTTTTTTTTCTTTTAAACTCTAATAGGATATCAAATGATGTAATTGATACAATTTTAAAAGTTCAAAGATAACGAACCTCTAAAAATATTAATGACTAACAAATAAATATAACCAAAATAGTTAAACACCAATTTCATCCTTACCCATTAGTAATATGTTAAAAAAAATCCACACTATAAGCAGCTTGTTGCTCTTTGTTCATATTTTCTATAAAATCAGGATATATCAATGAAATAAGACAAAAAATGAAAACAAAAATAAAACTTATATGTGCCTAAAAAACAAATGTACAAACACATAAAGACTCTATTTTTAGTAAAAAACTGGCGTCGTAATTTTACCCACTTGGTCTATGACGTCAAGCACCTCCGCCCTGCTCCTCACCATCCTATGAAACAACTCCCTAACCTGCAACTGCAACGGCCCCAACCCTACCTCCATTCTCCGACATATCTCCGCCAACTCCATCACCTGTTCCGCCACTTCTTCCTCCTTCTCCACCCCTAACGGAAACTCAAACACCTCCGTGAATTCAACAAGATTCTGAGCTACTCTCTCTATCACTTGAATCTCCGCCAACAGACCCGCAGTCCCTTTCTTTTCCTTCTTCTTCCACTCCTCTCCGATCTTCTCCTGCAATCCGATCATCGGATGTGCCCACCCCAGGTGTCTCGGAAGTTGGAAGTGGGTCCCCAGCCCCACCTTTTCTTGACACGGCACCGCCGTAACCATCGTCCACATGACCAGAACCAAAACTGAACTCATTACGTACACCGGAAGAGCCAGACCAGTTGGCTCGCCACCGCGGGGAGCCACAAGATTGTTGGACATCGCCTGGATCTGCTTTGATGCAGACCATGATTTCGAGAAACAAAAAGAAAATGATCTGGGGTTTCCACTAATCGTCCGATTATGCTTAACGGTTGGAGGAGCAACAACACCACCTCCGCGGCGGCTCATCGACCACATTCGTTCAGCTGATTTTCCAACTTGTTGATTGTTCTCCTTGTCGTCAACCATCATCGACGTCAAGAGAGTGTTCAAAGCTCGTTTTGCCCTTCTGACGTGTCCTTCAACTATTGGACGTTGTTCGAGCGCCTCCACCGCAATCTGGGCAAGCCGCTGCCAATGGCGGAGCAGCTCAATTCCATGAGTAATCGCATTACAGATATCTAAAGCTTTGACGGTCCGGTCGAGGTGATCTGGGATCAACCGGTCGAGTGGCGGTTTGGAGAAATGAGTGGCGTCCCGGCCAATGATCAAGACCGCTTTAAATTCAGACTCGCAACAAAGATAAACGTCGAGGAGTTTTCGGAACCAAGCGATGGATAAGAAGGTTTCTGGCGTATCGACGACGGGTATTTCTTCTCCGGCGACGGGAGGTAAGGGAGATTGAGGTGGTAAGAGTTGAATGAAACGATCGGAAACGTGTTTCTGAAACAATTCGAGCCCTTCAAGCTCTTGTTCATGGTTGATGTCCATGGAGACGACCTGGTTCCTGCGGATGCTAATCCGATTGAGGAAGGAACCATGGTGGTCCGTGGGCGGCATGATTGGAGAATTGGCCGGAAAAAGAAACAAGATTGCAAAGGAAATGTTTGAGAGAAGAATCGGGGCCGGAGATGGAGGGTTAAATACGGTGGAATCGGTTGATGATGATTAGAATTGTCGGGGAGTGAGACCGTTTCTTGTTCCAACTACGCACTTGCTTGATGCTCTCTATTCCTTTTATTCACAAAATGCTCAAAATGATTATTCTTAACATTTGTCAATTGGAATAATAAATAAATACTAATAGATACCGTAATGGAATGACAAATGTGTAGGGTAAGCAAAAATCCATGGAATCATCATTTTTTAATGAATATTTAAAGAAAGTAATAAAAAAATTAGTAAAAATAACTATTTGGTTCCAAATGGACATTCCGAACTAAAAAAAAACATTTTTTTATTGATTTCGGGACGGTATTCTGTATTCCGGACTAAAATTTTGGATATCGAGAAAAAAAACTCTCCAGAATTTCAATAATATGTCCGAAATCCAAAAACAATTCCGAAATTTCGAGAAAAAAAATTGTTTTTTATTTAAATTTAACAAAAAGTTAAACAAATGTAATAATATAAACTATATACGATATTAGTACATAAAATTAGATATTTAATATTTTATTGAAAAACAATGACATTAAACACTTCGAAATGTAGCATTCGAAATCCCAAAAAAAAAAAGTTTTCTTTGAAATTAAAAAAAAAACGTTGGAATATGAACATTACTTCGTAATGAGACATTTTGTAGAAAGTGGTTATTTTTCAAAAAAAAAGAGATGGTTATTTCTTTGAAAACCCTTTCTTTAATGATTAGATTACTTAATTTCCCAAAAATCTAACCACAAACTGAAAAATCGTAGAAGAATCAAAAAATCTAAACCGGAAAAGCAAAACCAAACATAACAAAGGTTTGATTTCTTCATTTTAAAAGACTGAAATATTCGGTTCAGTTTCTATTTTAGGAATTAAAAAACTACAAAAAAGGACCGTACCGATTTGTATAAATTGTTATAAATATATTTAAGTTACATATATTATATACAAATATATGTAATTCTATAACAATAAGGAGCATGACAAGTCGGTTAAGATGGTGAACAAATAAATTTGACATCTGGATTCAAATCTTTTTAGCTTATTTTTACTTGTTGTGGTTTACTCATCCCATAATATAAAAAAAACATTTAGTTTCTTCATCTATAAATAACAATAACTACCTACAAACCTTAAAATTTGGAGTTTGATTCCATATTAATTTGGAAGATCAAAACTTATTTTTTTAGTATAAATTTTGTAGTTGCGGTTTAGGATTAAAAAACCGAACTATATTGGTAAGTAAAGGGCTGCAACTCCTTTATTATCACTTGTATTGTAATATCCGCAAAATGAGCCTAGAAGTTTTGTTTTTTTAATGAAAAATAACACTTTTCGAAAATAAAATAAAAACAATATAAAATATTTAATTAACAATTTATAAATTAAATATATGACAAATATGATGATAGAAATCACCTAGATGTTTAATAGAGTCAAATTTGAAGAATTTTGATGAGGGACCAAAATTACCAATTCACAAAGGTTGAGAACTGACTCATGATTGACCAACTAGGACTTGAAAGTCATAAAATATATAGCGAATTATTATTTAGGAAAATATTACGTTACTAGTTGCTTTCCAAGTTAAAATGTTTGTTTAGGTGTAAGCTTTTGAAGTTGAAGGACCAAAACAGTCAACTAGAAAAAATGTGAAGGACCAATTTAGATTATTCAATACCATATCGTTAAGAATATCGATAAAAATGGGAAGATTATGGGGCAAGTATATGAGAATAAGAATTTCCATTAAAAATAGTAGTCAATTTGGTGCCCATTCAAGAGAAATCAAACTAGAAGGTCCATAATGTACTATCTGTAGCATGTGAGGCTATTTAAGCTAAAGGACTTTCCCCATTTGAGAGAAGAACATGATTTAGAAGAAAACGAGTGTTGAAAAGGACTATTTATATCATTTCATGGTGATTTGGAGTGAATTAATTGAAGGAGAAGCAAGGGTTTGAAGGTAGGTGAGCACCTAAGAGCTTGGAAGGTAGTTTACTCTCCTTTTCTTCCCTAATTCGAATCTAGAGATTGGGGAATTGCTTCCAAATCCAAAAAGTGGTTATTCAGTTAGTGATTAGTTTTAAGAATGGATGCTAGTTGTATCATTTGAACTTCAAGACACCATGGGATCAAACCCTATTTGAATCATGTGGAATTGGTGAGTGTTGGAAGGTTGAAGCTCCATCAATAGTGGGAAACCTTTAAATCTGAGTTTACACAATTAGGTAATGATTTGTCCATGATGTGGTTTTATAAACATTTGAGGAATCATCATTGGGTCAACATTTCACAATAGAAATGTTTGATTCCATTCCATTTGATGATTTGGGTTGATTGATTCCCCAAACCCACATTTGAGTTTTACTCATGCTTTAATGAGTTTTATATTGATGATGAAACTTTTTAGTAATTTTAAAACTAGATTGCCAGATTTTATTAAAGGTTCATAAGCTACATTTTGTGATTCCATTGTTTCCTTTTGAAGTTGTGAGTGAAATTGCCATTACGAAAAGCAAAACTATCATTGCAATGGAGTATAGAATTTGTAAGGTGTGTTAATCTTCAAACACGGAAATGATTTAGTAAATGTAACGAACCAAGTGAAATAGAACACTTTTGATGTTAAAAACTAAAACTCATGGTGCAGTTGGTCTCACAACTTCTTGGTAGAATTAAAATCACCACAACACTTTAGTTGTGGTTGGAATCACAACTTGGGTTTGGAATTGGTTTTATAAATTAGATTGGTTGGAATAGAATAAGAATCTAGTAGATTTTGTTTAGAAACTAGTAACACTTATTTTATTCATTCAAGCTAAATGAATTCCCCCCATTTGAGATAAGAACATGATCTAGAAGAAAAAGGGGTTAAAAAGGACTATTTATATCATTTCATGGTGATTTGGAGTGAATCAATTGAAGAAGGAGCAAAGGCTTGAAGGCAAGTGAGCACATAAGATCTTGGAAGGTAGTTTACTCTCCTTTTCTTCCCCAATTTGAATCTAGATATTGGAGAATTGCTTCCAAATCCAAAAAGTGGTGATTCAGTTAGTGATTAGTTTTAAGATTTGATTTTTGTTTTATCATTTGAACTTCTAAACACCATGGGGTCAATCCCTATTTGATTCATGTGGTGAGTATTGGAAGGTTGAATCTCCATCAACGGTGGAAAACCTTTGAATATGAATTTACACAATTAGGTAATGATTTGTCCATGATTTGGTGTTATAAAGTTTGAAGAATCATCATTGTTTCAACACTTCACAATAGAAATGTTTGATTCCATTCCCTTTGATGATTTGGTTTGATTGATTCCTCAAACTCACATTTGAGTTTTACTCATGCTTTAATGAGTTTTACATTGATGATGAAACTTTTTAGTAATTTTAAACTAGATTACCATATTTTATTAGAGGTTTATAAGCTACATGTTGTGATTCCCTAGTTTCCTTTTGAAGTTGTGAGTGAAATTGCCATTACCAAAAGAAAACTATCATTAGAATGGTGTATAGAGTTTAGAAGGTGTGTTAATCTTCAAACATGGAAATGATTTAGTAAATACAATAAACCAAGTGAAATAGAACACTTTTTATGTTGGAACCTAAAACTCATGGTGCAGTTAGTCTCACAACTTAATTGGTAAAATTAAAATGACCACAAAACTTTATTTGTGGTTGGAATCACAACTTGGGTTTGGAATTTATTTTATAAATTAGATTGATTGTAATAGAATAAAAATCTAGTAGATTTTGTTTACAAACTAGTAACACTTGTTTTATTCATTCAAGCTAAGGGACTTTCCCCCATTTGAGTTAATAACATGATCTAGAAGAACAAGAGGGTTGAAAAGGACTATTTATATCATTCCATGGTGATTTGGCGTGAATCAATTAAAGGAGAAGCAAGGGTTTGAAGGTAAGTGAGCACCTAAGAGCTTGGAAGGTAGTTTGCTCTCCTTTTCTTCCCTCGAATCTAAAGATTAGGGAATTGCTTCCAGATCCAAAAATTGGTGATTCAGTTAGTGATTATTTTTAAGATTGGATGTTCGTTTTATCATTTGAACTTCTAGACACCAAGGGATCAAAACCTATTTGATTCATGTGGAATTGGTGAGTATTGGAAGTTTAAACCTCCATCAATGGTGGAAAACCTTTGAATCTGAATTTAAACAATTTGGTAATGAATTGTCCATGATTTGGTGTTATAAACATTTGAGGAATCATCATTGAGTCAACACTTCACAATAGAAATGTTTTATTCCATTCCGTTTGATGATTTGGGTTGATTGATTCCCCAAACCCACATTTGGGTTTTACTCATGCTTTAATGAGTTTTACATAAATGATGAAACTTTTTAGTAATTTTAAAACTAGATTACCAGATTTTATTAGAGGTTCATAAGTTACATGTTATGATTCCCTATTTTGCTTTTGAAGTTATGAGTGAAATTGCCATTACCGAAAGAAAAACTATCATTGGAATGGAGTATAGAATTTGGAATGTGTGTTAATCTTCAAACATCGAAACGATTTAGTAAATGTAATGAACCAAGTGAAATAGAACACTTTTGATGTTAGAAACTAAAACTCATGGTGCAGTTGGTCTTACAACTTCTTTGGTATCACCACAACACTTTAGTTATGGTTGGAATCACAACTTGGGTTTGGAATTGGTTTTATAAATTTGATTGGATGGAATAGAATAAGAATCTAGTAGATTTTGTTTAGAAACTAGTAAAGCTTATTTTATTCATTCAAGTATTTGGTATTGAAATTGGAAGCTATTAAGAGCCTATTGACTTAATTAGGGTGTTGATGCCTATTTATGTGGTGAGTTATGGTTGTATTAAATTCAATTGCCCCTTTGTTTGTAAATAATGTTGAATAGTAAAATGTGGGTGATGT